TATCCTGCATTTGAATCCGTTTCATTAATTTAATCGTTAACATTAAAATTTATCTTTATATGACAATATAATATATATGAGCTAAAGTATAGAACATGTTATCAGGTTATTTATTGGATTCATAATATTCTATGGTTGAAGTTAAACAAACGACTTTATTATGAGAGTGTCAGCTTAAGCCAATTTATTTTACATATTTTATTACGCAGTTATAAGCAACATCAAACTAACTACTTCTTTCTGCGTATGTTTTGCCAAATGTTACTCCATTTCACTGCAAAAATTAACGATTTATGCGAAACTGGGATTATGAAAGTGAACATTTCTTTAAATAATGCATTTCACCTAATATTTTACTAAATATGTATTGAGCTTTCTATGATCGCTTTATAATTAGGAATTCATTGCGTTCAAGAACTCAAATGAAAGGAAATTTTACCTAAAATCACAATATACTGCGATAACAACATGTAAAACGAAAATACAAAGTAAACAAATCTAGTCCATGCTTCTTTGAGAAATACATGATTTTTACGAATTTTAAGACTGTATGTTCATTATTATGTAATATCTGAATTACTTAGCGCTCTACGCTCGCTAGTGATTTACTCTTTGATGGAAGTAGGTTCTTTTGGACCCAGGTGACTTTGGTGATTGCACCAATATTAAACATAAGACACATAATTCTTCACAGCCAGTGACAACATGCGTTGCAAAAAAACTCTCTGTCATATATCAGATTCCGTAAATTCACCAACGGAAAAAACTAAATGTGCTGACTTCAGTTCAGACTGTGAGTTACCGTGGTACATGGATTCTTTGACGCATGAGTTAACCAGTTGTTTGTGAATACGGGCTTCCGTATTACTGTATCTATGGTATAAATGGCATTATACCATAGATATAATAATATACGTATAATTAAGTATAATAATAGATGTAATATAGATATAATAATAATAGGTATAATATAGATATAATTATATATAGATATAATATAAAATTGACACACTAACATCTCTAAAAAAGTAACTGCAAATACAGTTTTTAACCAAATTAACAGAATTTAAATGGCTTGCGCAGAAATTCAACAACAACAGGAAGAAATTCTTATTCTTACTATAATTTTACAAGAAAATGAAATTCTAATTTACTTCATTAACAGTCTTTTAAAGAAAGCTGGAGTAGACTACACCCTATAAAATTGTTAAAGGTATGAATTTTTTATCTGAAAACTGAAATAGAGAAGCATAAAGAAGGATGCTTTAAGAAATGTTAATATGTCTTTGTAGATATTTGTATTACTATACATATATTATACCTGTACTAATTTTTCTTGACTTTGCTTTTACTAACAGAGGGTCTACTCTGTTTTAAGTCGTCATGATAAACCCATGACATGAAGACATTATTCTTTTTAGCCTTTGTTTCTTTTCTTCCTTTTTCTTATTTTTCTTTCAAACATTCCAAAACAAAAATATTTGAAAATTTCTGACAAGCCTCTAACTCACCCTTTGGGAGATTTCTAGCTTGCCATCGCCAATTTGGTTCGCGAGTGTAGCCAAAGTACCAAACGTAAGCGTCTATTTTTTAATCTCTCTTTGTTTCGCACTGACTAAATTAAGATCACCATGTTGTCTGTAAATTTCTAAGTATTTTTCGTAATACTACATTTTGATTTCAATCTTAAAATCAATATAAGTGTCTAATTAATTTCGTTTACATTATTTGACACTAACCTCTAGGCCTTCGTCTGGCTTTTAAACGTATCGGAAAAATGCATAAAAGACACACCTGGGACCGATGGCTGCTTAAGTTCTTCCAACTTTTTTCTCTTTGTTGAGATTCCAACCCTCCCTTGCATACGGCCCTGATGTATCTCCAGAAAAACATATACATCTTGAATTTTTAGCAAACTGATTGCATGAAATGGCATTAAACATTGTTAAAGCATAACTATATACCCTCTTAACCACCCACTAACTACGTAAAAAATACATAAAAATTGTACAATAAATTAAATTTTTTAAACAGTTTCTTACCGATATTGATGATCTTTTCTGAAATATTGAAATGTTATGATACTTTAGGAATCTTCTGAGAAATGCGTCAGCATTCACATCGCAGCCATTTAATTGATGATACTAACAGTATCCCTAATACAAATCTTAATTATCCTAATAAATAATTAACCAACTTCCCTTTGCAAAATTAAGGCTCAAATGGTATAAAGGAGGTTAAGAAATTGTTCCTAAAAAAATCACTAAGATTACTAAAATTTTCATATTTAAAACAGTGAAATGAGAACATAAAAGAATAAATAACTAAAAGAATACAAAAACAAAAAATTCTGAAAGAAAGGAAAATTAATGAATTTTATCTTATTTTCAAGAGAAAAAAATTACAATGAAATAAGCTATATCCCTTAATACAAATATTAATTATCTAATAAAAAATTAACCAACTTTCCGTTGAAGAAAAAAAAAAATCATGCAAAACTTTTCAATATCTCACAAACAGTGAAATAAGCAAAACTACATAAAAGAAACTCAAAAAACAAAAATTCCGCGCAGAATTTTCTTGCAGAACAACTTTATCAAAATAAATAAATAAATAAATAAAAAATAAAAATGTATTATATACTATAGAAAAAAAATCTGATGTGTACACCACATCACTCCTTGTACGGAATATTAAATTATATGGCATTTTTTTTGCTTCTTTAAACATATTGGATTGAATTAAATTACTTCGCCGAGCGCATAAGCTTAATTTCTTTTTTAACACGCTTACTTCTTGCAAACAAAACTGTAAGTGCCATCACAGTTTTGTTTGCAAGATTAAGTACCAGTGCATTTTTCATAATTTTTTCAATCATTTAATATTTTACTTTGCTCTCATTTTGTTCATTATGGACATTTTTAACTGTAAGGTTATTAAAAAATTAATACATATAATTAAAAAGATTTTTTATTTCATTCCTTTTCTTTAGCCAAATAATTAGAGTTGAAAATTATTGTGTTCTGATTTTATTTGGCTCATTTATCAATGTGGGGATGTTTTGCCCATCCTCCAAATGTGAAATCAGAGTTGGATCACTACTGAGGTGTCAAATCACGAACTAGTCAAATTCAAGTGCACAAACTCCAAAGTAAGGTAACATTTCAGACTTGGTGCTTTGGTCAGTGATCCATTTGCGTTGTGAGTAGTTCTTGGGACACTGTCAGATTTCGCAGTTTCAACATATTCCAACATTACAATATAGTAATATAATATAATTAGTTAATAATATATAATATTAATTATATCATGTTATATCTACGCAATATAGAAATATATAGGAAGAAAGAAATTTAAAACCAATTTATCACAAATTTAAATTCAAATGAAATTTAAAAAAAAACTGCAGAATATAAAATTAAATTTCTGAAAATGTAAAAATAAAAATAAAAGTAAACTTATACAAGAAAAACCAACAATAAAAAATGTAAAAATAAAGCATGAAAGAGGAGAAATCCAATCAACTCCGACATAATGTCTTCAGAATATGCCGAAATTGATTACAGCTTCTCTTCCATAAGAAAATTCTTATGGAAACTGGTTTGTAGAAAATACCTTTTAACCCAGGACATTGTGAGAACTTCCTTTCAAACGCCAGTTTGAAACTAAGAAAAGAACCCAGAGACGCCTAGGTTGCCAATTTGACCTCTTTGACAAAATTAAAAATTGTAATCGGAATAGTTCTCCCAGAAGGTGAATTTAAAACTGCATAACGCAGAATTTTAAATTTAAAGGGTTTGGTTTGGTTTATTGTGATTACAGCAAAGCACACTACGCGTATTTGCCTAAGGGCAGGGATGCCTTCGTGGAGGACTTTCTAAGGGAAACTTGCTCGTATACACTTTGCAGATGGGGAAAACCACGAAAACGCCCATGCAGCCATTTTGAAATTTGAAATTTTGAAAAAAATTTTGAAATGGGAGAAAGAATAATTTTAAGCGGAAAAAATATCAAACACTTCCAAATTAAAAGCAACATTGCAATTTAGGTGTTGAAAAATAAATAAAAAGAAATAAGTAGAATTAAGAATACCAGAAAAAAGTGAGAATATTAAAGTTAATATACAAAATTCAAAATATTTAATATGGCAAATATTGTCACTATTGCAAAAGGAACCTAAAAATTTCTTTATTGTGAATTTAATGCTATTAAGAAAAAAAATTAAAATGTTAAGAAAGTAAGAAAATGAAGTAAAGGGAAAATGTTAGAAAAACAAAACGTTTTCACGTCATGGGGACAACAAAGCAAAGAAATAAAAAGCCGTATACAGTCAAAAGTCGTTAATTCGGACACATATCCGAATGATCTAATCCGACCCAAAGCTACAACTCTGCTGCGCATGCGTCGTGTTGACGCATAGCGTTTACGCGGCGCGTAAGACGTTTACGGCGGCGAATATGCTGTGCGATGCGCATAAATACTTTCGCATGCGCGTTTAATGTTAACGGACGTATAAGCTAAGCTAAAATTATCTAATTCAGTTAATGTTGCAGATTGCGTTGTTCCTTATTCTTCGAATTGGATCCGGCTTATTATTTTTTCCAGACTGTTAGAGCAATTTTATGAAAGCCTCTGAAAAAAGACTATCACTCGTTGTCCAGCAGACCAAAGAATTCTCAATACACGTACAATTACTCGAGTACTCGAGTATTTGTGATCAACAAGAAGCTCTATCGATAACAGTACACGTCTTCAACAATTTTATTTGGACAGGCTACTATTTTCTTTTTGGAACCATTTCCAAATCTCATCGTCTTTCTTATTACAGATCCTGAAATGGGCCCTTATGGCTATCTGTTTAAAAGGCGAAAGTTTTTCTTCTCCATGGTCATGTTGGTCAAAACAGAATAATTTCTGACATCCAATATTCCCTTTTCTTTTTTTTTTTTTTTTTTTTTTTTTTTTTTTTTTTTTTGTGAACGTTCTTTGGAAGCTTGTTGTCGAACACTCTTGGCGTCAAGGGGAAAGTTGTTTGCATAGATCACGTGACGACACCTAGTAGCTGGTTATAGGAATTGATATGATTAAGAACTGTCACTTCAACTATATACAGAAATTTGGCAAGCGGGAAAGTCTACTATTGCCAAACATGTCTGTATTGGGCTGTAAATTATGTGGTTCAAAAGTGCAAATCTGTTATATTTTCTCCTTTGATATGGAAATCAGTGTAGCTAATGGAGAAAAACGAAAATTAAGGCTTAGCTGATGCGAGTGAGATTAAATATGGTTGTTTGACGAGTGCTTGTTTGATAGTTCGTGTTAATCAGTCAAAAATAAACGATTTGTGATGGTTTGTGTACTGCTAATATTTGCCCCATGTGGTACTATAAGATTTCATAAAAGTTTGCAGACAGTTTCTTGTATTTGTAAAAGCTCTTGTAAATCTATAAAAGAATAGATAAATATATATAATCTATCTTGTATATATCTATTCAAACCTTGAGTGTAAAATCCATTGCTGATTATTATTTATATAATTATCACTGTAAAAGCTCTGTGATTAATGCAGGATCATTTTACTTTTTATGTTACTCTTAATTTCATAATTTATTTCATGATTCAGTATCAGTGATGCTTACTTTTATTTCGTATTTACAATGCCTGTCCAAGCACCGCAGTGGACAGATTTCTTATCCTGTCCTATTTGTTATAATGAATTTGAGTGTAACATTCGTCGCCCTGTCAGTCTTGGCTGCGGCCATACTATGTGCAAAAGTTGCTTATCGAAACTTCAGAGGAAACAGTGTCCATTTGATCAAACTGTTATCAACATTGACATCAACCAGTTACCTGAAAACTATGCTCTTTTGCAACTCGTTGGTGGGAAAGTGCCAGATAAACCACCTTCAATTATTCCTTTGGTATCCAAAGAAGATTTCAAATATTATTTAGAAACTAAAAAATGTTTGGAAGAATTAGCTTTATTTCTGAAGTCACCTGGTAAGTAATATTTTGAGCACTATTTACTTGTATGTGTTACTCAAAAAATTAAAAAATCGTTTCATTATATTTATCATCATAAGTTTCATTATATGTTTGTTAAATGTCATTACTTTACTGAACAAATTGAGTAATCATTAGACTAATTTTTTTTTTTTTTTTTTTATGTGCACTGATGGCCAAGTGGTTAAATTGTTGAATGCTGGTAATTCGACCTGTGTTCAAATACTGGTTAGCAGGCAAGCTGGTTGGATAGGTGTTTTCAAGATTTTTTCCTGTATAACATAAATAAAAGCCATATTGTCTAAAAAAATTGCTTTACAAAGCAGTTTTTCCCTTAGCTAGGTAGCCCTGTTATGCCTTGCTATACTGTAAATTATCCCATATTTTTATAGGTCTTATTTTTCTTATACGAGTTATTTAAGCATTGACATTTGGGGGGGGGAGATACCCTGGATAAATCATTTATATGAATTCAGGTCTGGACTGGAGGCCTTGCCGTTGTTTTTTAACCTCAGTTTGTTATGTATTTCGTCTGTTTGTTTAAAAATAAAACAGCCCACATTCCTGTGCTAAAAATTATAATTTATTTTACTTTGATTGAATTTAATTGTTTTGGTAGCCATACACTCATTATCTAAAACTTGTTATTAATATTGAAGAAATAAAAAATGTTTTTTCCCCCAAGTGATTTTTCTCTTCATAATTTTCAGCATTTATTTGAATTAGTGCTTCTATTTGTAATATTTACCATGGATTTAAGTAATTTGTGGTACTGTAATATTTGTTATTGTAAAACTTCGTAGTTTCAGAAAATCTATCTGAAATATTTTATTGCTAACATGGCTTTTTTTCTGTTTTGCATCCAGAATTTTCCAGAAATGAATATCAGCACAATCTCTCAATTTCATCGGTTTCAGTATTTTCTTTTTTAATACTTACTTTATAGATTTGAACTATGTTGCTGGCATGTACACTCAGCACAAAAAAGGATTGGACAGTTCTCTATGGTTTTTGGCCCAAAAATCGTCTCTACACAAAGCCAAAATGACAAGACAAAGAATTGCACAAAGTCAGCCCTAAAATCGCTGCTATACAAAGCCAAAATAACAAGACAAAGAATTGCATAAAGTCGGTCAGTATCCATGTACACATCAACCTACTTTTTACTTAAAAAAAAAAAAAAAAAAAAAATCCCAGAATTGCACAAAAATGGCATTGCGCACTCCCTTGACTTTTTTCATATACACATGACCATTTCACTAAAAAAATGGAGAATTGCCCAAATATGCCTAGTACTCCTTGAGTTTGCCCTGTACACAGCGTTATATTTTTACTGAAGAGTCACAGCATCCAATCTACAGTAGAGGCAAACAAAAATAATAATCTCCATAAATTACATTTTAAACAAACAATAAAATAACAAAAGAAACAACCTTATGAATTAACACTACACAAAGCAAATCTCCATTACCTTATTTAGAAATCGTTCTTCTTCAGTAGGTCGCACAAAATCCTTTTAACAGAATCTAAAAATTCCTAAACTTCTGAAACTAGAATCCATATATGGGCCACTGAATTCAAAAAATAAGAGTCAAATAACTACGTAGTCTGGACTGTCGCAAAAATGGCATACTAAGAACACATTCCTTTTACACCCAGCAAATTAAGTACTTTCCCGTTTATTCAAATGTACAGAAACTTCAAAGTAATATACTACAATTCAGAATGTACTATCTAAAAAAATGAAACAAGTTGTGACTTCCTAAGCATAACATCACACACATAAAACCTTGCCAAACATCCCATGTTTCAAAATCTCTTTGAATAATGTAAATGATTATGTTATAATAGGTTTTCCATAACATTCAACTACTCAGGTTACCATAAATGATACAACAACTTGGCGATTAATGAAATAACAACTTTGAGATAAATGAAACAACAACATTACGATAATACAAGGAGTACCCTAAAGTCAACTCTAACCGACAGTTCTACATCTCCCATTCTACTGGGCCAACTGATGAAATTTAGCTCGCGTTTACTGGGGTCAAAGAAGCACCTAATTCTAAGGAAAAGTATATTTACGGGACATTCAACTACTCAGGTTACCACAAATGAAACAACAACATCGCGATAATACAAAGGATACCCTTCAGTCTTCTCTAACCAAAAAGGATGCATTGTTTATTCTTTCATCTAATTTTAATAAAGTGTGCATAAACCACATTTGGCATTATTATGACTTATAAGAAATATGACAATATATAAATTCACTTGTATCTTGGGAAATTTTGAAAAAAAAAACTCTTAATTATTTGCAGGTATGCCTAGAAATACATTTACTTCAAGGTAATGGTAAATATTTCATAGGTTATAATTCAGAAGTGTTTAAAAAAATATATATAAGAATTACTAAAAGTACAACTTTTTAAAATA